TTAAATGGATTTCGTTTTGATTCGAACAAAAATCCGATTGAATCAAGGGTATTTTTTCTTGTCAATGTTTTTAAGAGTCTGGACTCTAGATCCAATGTGCTTTTTTCTTTCCTAAAGCGGCCTTTTTTTGATGACATTTGTATTAATCCGCAAGAATTATTTCAATTACTTTTGTACTCGTCCGCGGTTGATGGACGAAGAAGCGCATGTTCAATGAATTGACTGCTGCACAAGTAATAATAGAGGATATCAGGATATAGGACCTGGTCCTATTATTTCCAGCATATGATAGACTTATTGACCAAGATCATGCATCTTTTTCTGAATGTATTGGATCTCACTATGTTTTTGGCATCAGTTTGTACACGACCATCATCGGGAAAAACTTGTCCACTATCAATTTCAAACACTGGATGCGAAGAGGGAGATCATCATTCGCTAATCCTCTTGGACTACAAGCTAATGATCCAAAATTGATCCATTAGGTATTGAACATAAGTTAGGTATGAGTTTCCCGTCAAAAATGCCCAGATACCAAGTTTAACAAAAAAACGATCGAACAGGAGCCAAGAAATCAATTTCAGCATTCGCCATACCGATGCAGTTTCACTTCGCGTCGGCCGCTCCGATTAAAAATGCCTTCAATTACACTAGATACTGTGCAACACACCCAAGTTCAAATAATTGTATCACATGATTGAACCTAACTCCACTCCAATGGAATCACTGGTTCCTTAAATGGTTGAGCATGTTAATACTAAAATTAGAAGCAAGTGGAGTGAACAGTGAATCTCCACATCATTCAAACGATGCCACTTAGAGAGGAGACACATGCAACACAACCCGATGAGGCAGAACGTTGCAAGACAAGTTGAAAGTCCAGTCCTACTGATGCAGCTTGACGTCGCATGCGCCGCACCAATTGTAAACGCCTTCCATTCCACTAGATACTGTGCAACTCACTCAAGTCAAAATAATTGTATCACATGATTGAACCTAACTCTACTCCAATGGAAGCACTCGTTCCTTAAATGGCTGAACATGTTTTTACTGAAATTAGAAGCAAGCGGAGTAAACAATGAACCTCCACATTATTCAAACGATAAAACTTAGAGAGGAGACAAATCCAACAGAACCCGATGAGGCAGAGCGATACAGAGATACAGCGATAAAGAGATCCCTGCAGAACCTGATCCCACCTCTTACCTTGACGTATCATGGTTACGTAAAGTTTTAGTGAAATCATTAGATGGAAGGACCCTGCTTCAATTCAATGATCGCACCAGACGTCTCCCAGAATCAAAAAGGAAAGTGCTCACCAAATGTAGAATCGATAATGAGTTGGAATCCGACATGTCAAAACTTATTTATTAATAATAGCAGTAATTATTTAGCATCTTTATCTCTCATTTTTATTTTATCTCGGGCCCTTGCCCGAACGAACACTCACAAAGTTCATTGTTTTGCCCTCCTTGCCGGAAATTGGACAGCAGCAAACCACGCTGTATTTNTCAAGGTCAATTAAGGCGGGCGAGGAAAATATGAACGTAAACACGCCGATTGTTATATGGTTTAATCCTGTTCAGGTGTTATCTCGTCCCATCACACGTGTTTTGGCGGACTGGCGTCGGCCATGATGAGTATTGTCGCCAATGGAACGACTCCTCTAACAAAATGTTCACCTGTACCGTAGTATCGTTTTCGAAGCGGGAAGCTCAAAAAACCGCAAATATCTTACGCAGATTGTGAAGTTATGAGTGCATTTCAGACTTTGCCGATGCGCTCATCGCGATTTTTGAGGCATTATCTGCAGGAACCAACTCTTAGTTTTGCTCTAGCAAAAGTTTGCAACAGGCCCATTACATACGCACGCTAGTATTCGGAAAAAAGTGGCATATGCTACCAGCTTATGAGAGTATGAATGACTTCTTGCCCTAATCAATTAAAGGATGGTTTGTTGTAATGCTTGTATCTACAATCAATTACTTATTGTTTTCTTCAATTACTTGTGGATCCTCTCCACTTAATAGTTATTTCGTGGACGATCATAAGTTATTTCGTGGCATTCGTAGTGTCATTTTTGTAGACAATGGTTACAAAGATGGCCTTTAATCATTAAGCGTTTTATATGTTATATGTGCTCATATGTTATATGTCTTTTATCAATTACGAGGCGCCGTAGGCTTAGATCGTAATTACATACGCACGCTGGTAATCGGAAAAAAGTGGCATATGTTACAAGCTTATGAGAATGACAATGACTCCTTTCCCAAAGCAATTAAATGATGGTTTGTTGTAATGCTTGTATCTACAATCAATTACTTATTGTTTCCTTCAATTACTTGTGGCTTTAATAATTTCTACCTGTGTTCATTTCATTACATGGTATCTATTTCTTGCTGCCAAATACGAAAATGATTTTGTCTTAACAATGTACTGCGTGTCTTATTTTGTCATTCTACTGTTTCCAAATAGTGAAAAGTTTACCTGGGAGCCGCTTCAAATAGGCTAAAATGTCTGAGCATCTAGGAATCGTCTTCACCGACACCCAATGAACTATTACAGTGATTCCTTAAAATATAGTTTTAGTGAAATCATTAGATGGAAGGACCCTGTTTCAATTCAATGATCGCACCAGACGTCTCCCAGAATCAAAAAGGAAAGTGCTCACCAAATGTATAATCGAAAGTTGGAATCCGACATGTCAAAACTTATTTATTAATAATAGCAGTAATTACTTAGCATCTTATTCTCTCATTTTTATTTTATGTTGGGCCCTTGCTCGAACGAACACTCGCAAAGTTAATAATTTTGCCCTCCTTGCTGGAAATTGGACAGCAGCAAACCACGCTGTATTTCTACAACCTGGCTGTTATCAAAAGTTATCATCTTAAGGCCTATATACACACGGCGATTAATCGCTGCGATTGATCGCCGTGTGTATCTAGGTCTTTAACGAAGAGATCGATTCCCACGTCAAACGTTTCGGATAAGAACTCCAATTTTCCACTTGTGCGCCTACAACCCCACTGACAAATAACGCCGATTATACAATCTAGAATAAATAAGAATTATTCAAAATTATAAATCCGATTATGACTGACTCTGCACCGTGTTCAAATAAGGCTTAAATCATTAGCTGAATTTGGCGACAAATTCAAAAAATAATATAAGAGCGGGAAATTTGAAACACCAGAACGGAGAAACGTCGTTCGGCACTTCGGGCATGGATATATAATTAGATGCATATGAGTCATTAAATAAGGGTCATAACGTGACGCAGACTTCTATTAATGGAAACAAACAAGTAAGGTACTTTCTCTTATCAGATGTTCATATTCTCTCTTGTTTGTTTCTGTTATGGGAGCTGCGTCGCACGATGATGGCCATTTTGGGTTCTGCGCGGAGTTATTGAACTGGGCTGACTCAGGTGTGTAAAATACGTCGTTTTCGCCCGAAGATGCTACTCGAAGTTGGGAATAAAAACATGCGACTGAACAAAGAATAAGTTTGGAGACAAGGTAAAGGTTGCCTCACTGAAATGATACGTCGGTAGTGAGCCAAGCATCATGAAAATAGATTTTAGACTCCTGCAGTGTAGCGAACAGCAGCGGGCTGATAATTAAGAGTGTTAGATAAAGAGCCAATGGATCGATATTTTTTAAGAAGATGACATACAGGCTTCCCGTCGCAAGAATCATCCACGTAAAATTGTGAATTGAAAACTTCTTTTTCTTTTTCTTCTTCTTCCAACTTTCCGCTATAGACGAGACCATGTTTGTGTAGCCTCTAATTTGGTGATATAATGTGAGACTTGATGAATTGATGATTCTCCGGGGATGAAAGGCAATCCTGTACCCATCTCTTGCAGGCAGTGTCCGGGTGAAGTAAAGTGATCCGTCGAAGTGACAACACAAGACGGAATTAGTTTAATCTTCTACCTAGTACCAATTGGACGTATTTCTGTCAAACGGCATTATGCGCAAACTGGAAAAAAAACACATTGGATCTAGAGTCCAGACTCTTGAAAACATTGACAAGAAAAAGGACTCTTGATTCAATCAGATTTAAGCTTAAATCAAACGGAAATCCGCTCAAATTAAGAGGCTTGGTTCTTGATTTAAGCAAAAATCTGATTGAATCAAGAGTATTTTTTCTCGTTGATGTTTCCAAGAGTCTGGACTATAGATCCAATGTGCGTGTTATTTTTTTTTTTTTTTTTTTTTTTTTCCCCGGGTCCGGCTCGTAGCGTGATTTGCGGTATATCGATATATCTGCGATTTAAACTATGGAAAAGGATCGATAAACACGGCGTTAGCAGGGAGCACCTTAAATAATCGATTCTTAACCATAGCTTCAAATGAGAAAAAAAATCGGTAATAAATCATTCACGCTGCGCCACACTGGAAAAAAAACACATTGGATCTAGAGTCCAGACTCTTAAGAACATCGACGAGAAAAAAACTCTTGATTCAATCAGATTCATACGCTTAAATCAAGAACCCCGCATCTTAATTTGAGCGGATTTCCCTTTGATTTAAGCTTAAATTTGATTGGATCAAGAGTCCTTTTTCTTGTCAATGTTTTCAAGAGTCTGGACTCTAGATCCAATGTGGTTTTCTTTTTCCAGTGCACTGCAACTCACCCGGTAGTTACAACTACCATGGTGGTTTGCAAAACCAGCCGCTGGTTTTGACGACAATCCTATTTATTTCCGTTTTGGAGTGGAGAGTTTGAAACACCGCAATGAAGATGAGTGGTTTCGCACTTTAACCCTGGAATTCACGGAAACTCGACGACGATCCCGCCTTCCGTCGAGCTGTGCATCGCGAAGCCCGCGCGGGGAGCCATTTGAGCGGCTGGCTTTTATGTTGTGCCCCCGGTGTTTGATCTGGAGTCATTTCCGACAGTTGCGGAAAACACAGCGACCGTAAATGTTTGCCGGCGGCCGTAAATTGTGTTTGCTCAACTTAGCGACTCACCCTTGTCACCGCTCGCGCGCGGAATGACCGAAACTCGGATGTCAGTGCAGAGCGAGCTACCCTGAGCTTGCCGATAACCCGCCGAGATGGGTTCGCTACGCGCGCACATCGCGCTTCTCTTGATCGGCTACGGGTTCTTGTGCGTTTTCGTGGACCGCGGCGAGGCCCAAGGCGGTCCGGGCGGACAGAGTTTGGGCCAGAATCAAGGTCAACAACAGGGGGGTCCACAGAATATGGGAACCTCTGCAAACGTGAGTACATCTTCATTACACGAGGGTTTTAACTTTCAAATAATGATACAGGGTTATTCAAAAGTCACGCACCACTGGCCATAACTTTAAGTTCTCATTGAATCAGTGAGTTCGGAAACACACCAACTCGATAACTCGAAAATGCGCAACTTTCATTAAAGACGGTCAATTTTCATGAAGGTCGTTGAAGTTAGCGTATCTGTTCCGACTTGGACCTTTAAAATGTTCGTAAGTGCCTGTCTTTCGACACCAGACATGTTTTTCCTCGACTAATTTCTTCACCTTCTGTGCAGTTTTGTTTGTGTCTTGATTACTTTCATTTTTCCGAGTTGGTGTGTTTTTGTTCTCACTGATTCAATTATGATATCGACTTGCGGATTAAGACGCTTTTCCTCATATTGAGGAGGAACATTTTTAAGTACTTTCCAAGTTTTAATCCCCTCGGGGGGAGGAGAGCGGGGGCATCTCAAAAATTTCAAATGGCCACCCCCCTCATGGCCAGTAGTGCGTGACTTCTAAATAACCCTGTATGCCAAAGGTGTTTACTTTGCTGTGTACTGACTCCTAATAGAGATGGAGAGAATTTAGAGCATGGGTAAATAAGGCTAAAACATTAAAACACTAAAAGGCAGGACGTTTGGAGCTGTTAGAAGCTTATTTTCAGCTGCAAAAAAAACACACAAAAAAATAAAAATGCGGTTACGTGATAACGGCTGGGGTCAGGTCGCCACTCAATTATTACTTTTTTAATTAGTTTGTTGTGTTTTTTTGCAGCTGAAAATGAGCTCGAAACGTCCTGCCTTTTAATGTTTCAGCCTTGTTTACCCATGTTTGAATTCTCTCCTTTTCTATTCGTATATTCGGGCTGTTCTTGTGCTTTATACTACCTCCAAATACAACAAGCTAGCCGTCCTGGAAAGTATGGAAATTTGCAGAGCCATCCTCAACGATGAACAACTAATGAATTCACAATTGGATATAAAATCTACCTACCAACCGCTCATCGATCGGTGCTGCCACCTGACGACTAAATCAGCAAACAGTAACCAGTATACGCGTACGAAGTCACGAGTAACTAGTCCAAATAGGTATTAGGTAAATGTGCATGTAAGAAAAGTTTGAAGATTTTACGTACTGTGACGACAACATGTGAGAAAGATTTAGAAAAGTTGTACGTAGGAGTCATATTCACAAAAGCTCTGAAGATGCCCGAACGGGCGAAATGCATTAGCAGTTAGGACACATCAAAGTAAGCACCCTTGGCATATCATCATTTGGACTGCATTTTGCAATTTGGACCTATGAATTCTGGCTCATCTGAAAAAAAAAAAAAACTAATGTGCATAGGGAAATTAATGACACTTACGTTGTTTTTAAGCCGGGCCGGAATTTACAGTTCCTAATTGCAAAACGTAGTCCAATTTATTGACATGTATTACAAGGTCCAATACGCATATTAAACTTTATTATTTCATTTTGGGTATACGACCTTGTCTCCACACGATTAAAAATCAGAGCTGCCGTTTCCCGGAATCAATTCCGAATTTAAGAACTTTTAAATTACTCGGAATCTTCAGAATTCCCGGGATTTCCAGCTATTTACGGAATTTTTGCGGGAGGAGTCGTAAGTTTGACCTATTATTTGATCAAATTTGATGATTTTGTGATGGAATTTGACGATAGTTAGAACTAAAATCGAAGCATGTTTCGGAATTTTTTCCCAAAGCTTTTGAAAAATCGGAATTTTTCAGGGAACTTTTGGAAACCGGAATCAATTCCGGGAACCCCGCAATTTTTGGTAAAATAAAACGGCAGCAATATTAAAAACCGATAAAGAAATTCAGTGCCGGGATGTGGAGCGTTCGAACACCCCGGGCGATGAGAATGCGAAATGAGCTTAGCACCGCAAAAGCTCAAGACACTCCGAAAAAGAGTAGATACCGCTCCGTGATAGTCACTCCAAAAGTAGAGCACTCCGATCACTCTGTGTACTTGAGCGCTACGTAGGCTTCGGCACGGAATTTCACACAAATAGTTTTAACTGTGCACGGGAGGTTTTCATACGATTTGTTCCGGGAGAAATTTCACTTCTCCTGCGTAGACGATTCGGCAGCAGATGTTATTAAAAGGTCACGTTAGGAATGAAACGCAGGGAACAAAGTGTTAGAGGTCATCCCCAAAAATTGAGATACTACTCCCATTATTTGGATGATATGGATATTTCGAATAAATTTTGGGAGCACCCGCATCATTTGGGTTAGTATAACCTAATTTATTGGGGTACCACCATAATTCATGAGAAATAACCAAGTTGGGACTTAAACCTGGACTCTTCTTTTACCGTGAACGGTGCGTGAAATTGTAGGAGTTGAAAAAGACTAACTGCGTGGAATTTTCACGAAACAGCTTAAGGGTATGTGCAAAGGATGCCAGATGAATGGTTACCTAAGAATGTACAGGACGAAATCCTTTCTCGCAAATGACGTGGGGACGCCCTGCCAAATCGTGGATTGACGGTGTAAGGCAGGAAATGAGGGGGTACGGTTTGCCTCTAGCCTTATTTACCCTCTGATACCCTCTGCGTGTGAGAAGTGTGACGGTGAAGTTGCAAACTAAGTTGTAAGTGTTTAGTAAAGTTGTGAAAACAAAATCTAAACGTGGCGCGTCTTAACCATCAATTATTATTAAGTGTTCCAAACTGACCTCACCCAAGTAAGTGCTTTGTCACTTCTTCATTTTCTTTCTTCTTCCAAGTCGGTAAAATCAACGATGTATAATCTATGTATCCCATGAGAGGCAGCACACAGTTTAGGTCTTGTCTTCACGGGACGTTTCTATGGGATTCGTCCCGGGAAAAATCTCAAACGCAAGTTGGGAAAAATATTGAGTTACAATCGTCAATTTAGTAATCATGGTACCAAGTAGGGTCTTTGTACTCTCAATGTTAGAGTTAAAGAAACGTTGTTTCGTCATCTTTAAGTGGAATTTTAAACGAAACAATAACACAACGTTTCTTTAACTCAAACAAACAGACTTCAAGTGAAATTCGCACGGATTAAAGAAAAAAAAAAATAATAATGAAAAAAAAAAATAAATTAATTAATAAATGAATAAAAATTACCGACAACGAACTGTGCGTATTGTCTTTCTTAAAGTCTTGCCGTTGAATTATCGAAATGATATCTATCGCAAGAAAAAATCCTTTCAGTGTAGAGACACGTGCGAAAGTCAAAAACGCCTTCAAATAGACTGGGTATGCAACACAATATCCCCTGTGCGCGAATAGTTGCTCGATGGGTTGAAACCTAACTCCGACGCGCTCAGAGACGGATTTGAAGTCGGCGATGGACATGCTACTTCGGTAGAGAGGCCCTTTATCAAAAGTTGTGTACTCCAAAATTGTAACTACGGTTATGGTACATCGAAAAACATGGTTGAAATTTATTTTAATTCTGTACACAGGAAATCAGCACTAAAATATTTTTAGATCATTTTATTCGTTTGTCTATTTCTTAAAACTAGAGACAACTTTCTTTACAGTACTTTTTCAGTACCTTTAATTGACGAAATTCGAAAAATTTCACAAAGAATTTCTCACTCAAATTGCGACAAAAATGACAAAAAATTCCGGAGCTTCTTGCAGAATTTCCGCACTTTTTCAGTACTTCCGGACTGCCCTTAGAAAATCCGTACTATTTCCGGAAATTCCGGACTTGTAGACACCCTGATCCACTTTATTCTCTTTTTTCGGCCGGTCAGAGACTCTATTTGTAGATTACCGTGTGGGTAGCGCGATGAGGGCACAGCGAGAGGAATACGAAATTGTAACAGCGATCAATTTGCAAAGACAATCACGTCCGCTGCCCGTGACATTCAAGCCTGTATTTACCAAAGGCGTAGCGCAGGGGCGGTCGCTTACAGGTTTTACCCGTACTACATCTAATCCCCCTGCGCCGCGTCGGAACAGTGATTGGCACATTCATTCGTTTAACTTGTTACCGTTCGAGTTCGTTTCCGCGCGGAAAAGCGCGGCAGCGTTCAGCGTTTATCGAGACAAAACTCAGCGGATGGCAAAAATGGTGGGTCTGTTCCAAACTATTACTGGAAAGATGAAAAAAGTTCACTGGAAAAAAAATACTTTGAATCTTGAGTCCAGACTCTCAAAAACATCGACAAGAAAAATACTCTTGATTCAATCAGATTTAAGCTTAAGGTGATTCGATGGTCGCCATACTTTGTGTCAGAACGGCATGCGATATATCGCATCAATTAGTTCCATTTTTTCAGCTACTCGTCATTTTTCTCCAATTTTGACATCGCAATTCTGTTGTCAGGAGACTAAGACACTCACTTACCAATTTTAACAAAGAAGTTCAACGTAATAAAAGCGTGGTTTTTTTAGAGAGAAATTTGCATTCGATTGCAGTTTTGATATCAGTATCAGATGCGATGTTTTCTCTCTAAAAAAAACCACGCCTTTGTTACGTTGAATTTCTTTGGTAAAATTGGTAAGTGAGTGTTTTAGTCTCCAAACAACAGAATTGCGATCTCAAAGTTCGGGAAAAATGATGAGTAGCTGAAAAAATGGAACCAATTGATGCGATATATCGCATGCCGTTCTGACACAAAATATGGCGTCCATCGAATCACCTTAAATCAAGAACCAAGCCTCTGAATTTGAGCGGATTTCCTCTTGATTTAAGCTTAAATCTGATTGAATCATGAGTCCTCTTTCTTGTCAGTGTTTTCAAGAGTCTGGACTCTAGATCCAATGTGTTTCTTTTTCCAGTGTTGAGTTTTATTTGGCAAATGACAAAAGCCGTGACCAAACGCGATGTACATTTACGGTCAATCATTTGAGTGAAACAGAGACTAAAAATGATTATTGTTAGGCCCGATCCACACGAGCGCGAGCGGGCTTCGAGGAACTTATTCGAGGAACTGCTCGGTTTCCCGTAACATGTTCCTTAAAACGAGGCATGCTGTCCACACGAAATAGC